AGGAAATAAACATTTCCGAAAGCTTGACGTAATACCAAAGAGTTTTTTCTTACTCCCTGGCATCCTCAAAATTGACTGCAACCTCATTAACAGAAATCACACAGTGGTTTCGAAGTTCTTTCTTCAACCGACCAGTCACGACCAATCTAAGAAGGTTTATATATATTTCACAGGTTCACTGTTTGTAGAAATGAGTATTGTTTTGTGTAGTACATTGAATGTAAGGTCTTGTTGTGTTTTGATTTGTATTTGTTTCTCGATAAGTGAATTATGACTGTTGAATTCATGGATCTTTAAGTTTTCCCAGATGTCCATACGGTTTCCTTGTTTTATGAGTTTTATGTTCTCTGGTGGGGAAAAGTTATTGTATGGCGTGTGTTGCGAAGTTTCATTTATATATTATTGGGTTTAGGTATGCCTTTTTGTGTTAGTCGTACCTTTGGATCAGTTTTGTCTTAGTCTGAAGTAACTATATATTAAATAACTTGCTGACCCATACCTATTTTTTTTAGTTCTTGAATTTAGCAAAATCAAATTAAATGACGCTTCATACAAAGAAGGTTGTTCCACAAAATAAAATGAAAAACCCACGACCACTGCTCTCCCAATATACTAACTGCTGTTAGCAACTGGTTATTCTTTTTCTGAGTTCTCTCCAAGCCGGGATATAGCAATCATCACAAATAAAATGTTCAAAACACCTTACACGTTTTATTTTCAAATTCATATAATTCATTTGTGATTTCATATGATACCCAGTAATAACGTGTAATGAATCCTCCACCATCCTAAAGATCTGGGTGCCTCTCCAATAACGTTTGTCAATGGCAGTGAACTTAGAAAAATTGTAATGCTGATCAACGATTGGTCCCTTGGTGCATTTAAATATTTACGATTATCGTTGAATTACTTTATTTTTCCATTTGAGGACAAAGTTTTGAATATACGCAAGAAACCAATCATCATAGCAAATAAAGAGGTAATCAATTAAAGGAAGTATCATCAAATCTCAATAAAGATGACAAAAACTGTTAACCCTAAACAAATATAAGTGGCACCTATTCATTGATGTTCACGAATTAATCCTTTGTTTAATCCGTCGAATTTATAGTGTAAACTCTCGTCGTTGTTTGAACAACAATTACGTTAAAGCCAAATGTTTAGTTTACACAATTTTTCATGCGATTATAATTGAATGTTCGAAGAAGAGTAATCGCGAAAGAATTATACAGGGTGTTCCAACAAAAACTTGACCTTCCCGGACATGTAATCGAAACTTCACCCCCTTGGGGTCAGCAAATACCCCCCTATTTTTTTAATGGCATAGAGGTCGAATGATTCATCATTTGAAAGGTATTTTATCCCTCTATTACTCTGTGATTTTCTTCGAAACAATTCCCTGTCGCAAGTCTTCTAGGCTTAGTGGAGTACACTTTCGACTTCAGGTGTCTTAACATAAAGAAGTCCATCGGTGTGAGATTAGGTGATGTGGCTGGCCACTCTACTGGACCCCTTGGAAAACGTTCCTCCAAAAACTCGCACCCGAACAACAGAATGGTCCAACAATATGATTACCGAAAATGCCGGCCAAGACATTCCATTTTTGTGGAGTTTGTTGATGTTTCCATCACCAAATGAGGATTCACATCGCTCCAGTAACGACAATTAGGTCTATTCACTTCACCATTTAACATGAAAGAACTTTCGTCTGAAAAACACGTATTGTATAATAACAATTTCTCGCTGAAGACCTCCCAAAACTGAAGTCGACGATCAGGATCGCCCTCGTTTAATTCCTGAACTAGTTCTATTTTGAAAAGATGGAGTTTGTAGGCTTTCAAAATTCGAAAAACACTGGTAGCTGATACACCATACGCTCTAGCTACTTATCTGATAGATTGTCGATTATCCATTTGTACATATCCCAAAACTGCAACTTGAACTCCGTCATTTCTGACAGGACGGGATACTTCATGTTTTCTGAACCTGAAGTTCGGAACTTATCCATTAACTGTTTAACGTATTGACGGGCTCACGTTGTGGTCTGGATGATTCGTATTATAAATTCTTGCAGCAGCTTCAGCACATTATTTCGATAGTAGCTGGCAATAATTTCTATTCTTTCTTCAGTAGAATAAACCACGTTGGAACACAGTGAACAAGAATGACTGAATAATAATTCGTGAGGAAGCGACAGTGGCCAACTACCTACTTTTTGTTCTGCGACAACTAGATTCAACAGAAACTACCAGTGCAGAAAAAACTAACAGTGTCGTCCATTTCAAAACGTTTACTAGGTACTAATTAAATAAATTCTACAAATCTAGAAGATCTGCGACATAGAAGTGTTCGGGAATGCCGATTTCTGACACCACAGAAGCGTGCTGTTCTTTTTTCTTATGTTCCGAGTTCCGAGACATTCTGTGACATATGACATTTTTTGCGCCTAACCTATCTTCCTCTATATAAATAAATAACAAAACAACTGTTGTTTATGTGGCTTGTGGAGGTGGCATTGAACTATAATTTATATTTTGCCTTAATTGCTGATTTATAAAGATAATTTTCCTTTTTCAAAGTAGAATATCTAGGTATGTATTAATTATTTCAACTTGATTAGGCGCTGTTGCCAATATGTAAATTAGAAACAAATCCCTTCAAAAATTTAAACCCAACATTTGAAACATCAATTTGAATATTTTCCGAAGTGAATTCGAAAAACTCATGAATCAAACTCAACTTTATTTTGTTCAATCTTGCATTTCCTGTAATAACCCAAATTGAGGAACATTCCCTATTACCTCCTGTATGGGGACCATGTGAATTCTGACATCGAACCAACAATTGTATTCGCATTATATACAATTTTGAAGTGCGTGTCTTATGTCGTGGAATTAATTCTACACTGATGACTTTACCAATATTACAACCACAACTTCTAGGATTGGAAACTAAAATCAAAAATAACGTACATTTTCTTTCAGATGATAAGCTGGTATACCCTGTTGGATCGGTCATTGCAGTCCACAATTTCGGTGTTAGAAAACAAAGATTCATCAAACTATCCGGCAAAGGAAAACATTTAACTCATCTGGCTGTCAGCCCTAACAAGTAACCGGTAACCTAACCGGTTAGGTTAGGTTAGGTAAGGTTAGGCTCCACAGGAGGCCCCGGAGCGGTATCAATGAAGATAAAAAAAATATCTGAATTTTGTCGGGTCAGGAATTTTCACGTTTTTCCTCCCAATTTTTTTTTTCATTTTTACTGAGAATACATGCACAAACATAATAATATTGTTATCGATATATCAGAAAGCCCTGATTGCAAGTTTCCGTTTAGTATCGAGCATTTCAGTGGCAATACTTTTGTACCCATGAGTCAAAGAGATATAAAATAATCGAAAAAATCCGAAAAACGGTTGACCCTACATATCATCCTAACGTCTCGCTTCTTCAATCTCAAAATTTCAAAAATAATTTGACGAAATCTCATGTATGGAAATTTTCAAACGACCTGGTCGATTTTTAATGAGCTGGTATACCCTGTTGGATCGGTCATTGCAGTCCACAATTTCGGTGTTAGGAAACAAAGATTCATCAAACTATCCGACAAAGGAAAACATTTAACTCATCTGGCTGTCAGCCCTAACAAGTAAGTGAATAGAATTGAAATCTATACTCATAAATGCGAAAGTCACTTACTGAACACTCACCCATTCATCTTTGTTTCTTCCATCTGGTAAGTCCTAGGATTCTGTCCCCACTCGGGATCAACAGCGCGCGTTCACATATGAAAATTACCCTTTATCACTGTTTATCTATACTGCTATATTTTCGAAGGCTGAAATTTTGTATGTAGGTTCTTTTTAAATTGTTGATGTGCAATAAAAAGGGATTTTCAAATATTCCAACTGGGGCGTCAGCGGCGGGGGAAAAGGCGCGTTCATAATATGAAGTTACTTTTTCATCACTGTTTCTGCATACCGCTCTATTGTCGGAGGCTGAAATTTTGTAAGTAGGGTCGCTTTATATTGTAGATGTGCAATAAGGAAGGATTTCTGAATATTCCAAATGGGACGCTAACCGCGGAGAAAAGAGATGCGTTCATAAAATAAAGTTACTTTTTCATCACTGTTTCTCCATGCTCTTGAATTCTCAGTGGGTAAATTTATATTTAGTATCAGCATTGCACCCTTCGGAGCCGGGTGTGGTCGCTAGTCTGGAATATTGATGGCATCGGTGAAGATGCGTTCGCTAATAGAAATATATCCTATAAATTGAAAAAGGTATATTTTCAGGAGAAGAGAAGTAGAACACCAAAACCTATCTTTCTCATATATATTCTAGTTCGCTTTTAGAAAAAAAATCAATATCTGTTTAAAAATCTGTTCAAAATCTGTTCAAAATCTGTTTTTCCGTTAATCAGCTGTCGCCCCCATACGAACGACAACTCTCAGGAGTTGAGAAACTTGTGCGAGCTAAGGAATAACGAGGTCTTACCTTTTAACGTGTGATTCCTAACACGTTTGCAGAATCATCCCAGCTTCAACCAGATGAATTATCTCGGGAAAAATATCGGTTTTCCGATCATGAGTCGGGCGCACTACCAGCGCGACCAATTGCACAACATTTTACTAATACATAAAACCAATCGGAATCCTGTAGATATCACAATTTTTGTTTTCTTTTCCATTCCTTCTGATTTTAACTACAGATTGTGTATCATTTCTTCAAATTTTAGTTTGCAGTAATTGTATATGTACTATGTATACATAGGGGAAAAGAGGCCTCCACCTAACCTAACCTAACCTAACCTAACCTAACCTAACCTAACCTAACCTAACCTAACCTAACCTAACCTAACCTAACCTAACCTAACCTAACCTAATGGACATTTCATCAGGAACAAGTCGCATTATGTGTTCAATTTCTATCCAGCTGTTGTTGTTCTCTCTCTTCGTTCTCCTTCCGTTCCATAACATCATGTATGAAGGTTGCTCCCTACTTCCAATTCTCTCTACTCTTCATCATGTTGTTGACTGAATTTTCGGAGGACATTTTTTCTCCTGTTTCAGTCTCATACCGGTTTCTCTCGCGTTGCCATCTATTAAACGAGAACAATGTGTGTTCTGGGCTATCCATTTCTTGGCAATATAGACACACCTCATCGTCGGCCTTTCCAATTCTACAAGTGTAGGTCTTAAAGAAGCCATGTCCGCTCAGAGCCTGGGTTATATAATAACTGGTGTACTTGAAGTCACGCTCTAGCCACGGTCTCAGGTTTGGGATAAGCCTTTTTGTCCACTGCGCCATTCTGGTGTTATCCTCCCATGAGGTTTGCCATTCCTCAATTGTCCTAGATCTCTGTAGCCGCTTATCTGCCTCCGTTACCTGGTCAAGGGCATCCAGTCTGCCTCTCCCCCTGACCAACATATCTATCGGCGGGACACCCGTTATGACGTTGACAGCCGCGGCGGAAATCGTCCGGTATCCCGCCGCGACTCTCAACAGCATTTTTCTTTGTGTCGCAGCCATCATGAGTCTGTATTTGCCAACTCTCATCACCCGCTCCCATACCGGTGCCGCGTAAAGAAGGACTCACTGCACCACTCCGTACAATATACGGCGCTTGCCTGTTGTGGGTCCTCGTATGTTTGGCAGGATCTTCGTTAAGGCCGCCGTCTGCCTATCAACCTTTTGACAAGTTCTCTTTATATGCTCGTTGAATATTATTTTGTCGTCGAGCCAGACGCCGAGGTACTTAACATATTTTTTTGGCTTGATTTGTGTTCCCGCCAGTTCGAAGGCTATGATTCTTTCTTCCTCCACCCTTTGAGTATTATTGCCTCGGTCTTACTGGGTGCGATCTCCAGGCCATTTTCTATTATCCATCTTCCAACTTGTTCGAGGGTGGCATTACATTTTTGGACCAGTTCTCCTTTTTTATTTGCTCTCACAATCAGGGCCAGGTCGTTGGCGTGAGCGACAGATTCACAGCTTGGCGGTAATTTTAATTCTTCCAGCACACCGTTATATAGGACGTTCCACAGGGTGGGCCCTAGCACCGACCCTTGTGGGACTCCTTGCGACATTTCTTGCTTGTACTTCCCAGATAGCAGGTTTCTGTTCGAGAGGTAGTCTCTTACAATTCGAACTAGGTAGGCACTTATTCCAATATTTTGTAGACGGTCGATTATAATATGCCATTTAGCTGTATTGAACGCATTTTTAATGTCGACCAATATAACGGTTCCCCAGGTTTCCCGTGTCCTGGTAGCCCTGTCTACGATATATTTGATCGTCATTACCGTGGATTTTTTGGGTCTGAAACCGAATTGCCTAGTTGAAATCCCAGCATTTTCGCTCAGTTCCGCTTCCAGCCGAGTTTTAGCAAGTACTCGTAGAGCTTTCCTAAGCTATCTAGGAAACAGATCGGTCTTGCTTTGAGAGCTAAATCTTCTGCGGCTCCTTTTGATATAAGTACTACTTTGGCAGATTTCCAGGTCTCAGGAAAGGATCGTGTTATCAATTGGTCATTCATAATTCTAATCATTGTTTCTGGTATTATTTCGGCTGCCAGTTTTACCGCTTCGGAAATTATTCCATCAGGCCCTGGAGATTTTCCATTTTTTAATTTGGAGATGGCTTTACCCATCTCCTCTGCGTTGAATAGGGGCGGCGAATTTAAAGGTTCCTCTAGGTTAAGAGCTCGAATACTAATGCCATTATGAGGAGGGAAAAGTTCCTTGATGATTGTTATTTTCCTTTCCTGTCCAAGGTCGTATGGGGGTCTTATATGTTTGATTCCTTTGGTCACAATCTTGTACCCTTGTCCCCATGGGTCTTCCTCCAGCATGTCGCACATGGCCCTCCATTCCTTCTTTTNCACCTCTTCTTTGGTTGCATCTGCCAACATGTCTTTCACGTATATAGTTTCTAGCAGTTCTTGTCCGAGTTTCCTTATGCTGAGTTGAGTGTTTTCCCTCAGCGCGTTACTAATTGTGTTGAGTGCCTCGTCGTCCCTGTCCAAGGTTAGCAATAATTTTCCGCCTGTTGTGCTCTTAATGAGTCGTATGTGTTTTGATGCAGTACTCTGTGCTACGGATGTCTTGACCGACTCCAATGTTTCTTTGAAAGTTTTTCCTCCTCCGTTAACTATGATCCCGTATGTTGGCCTGATTTTTTCTTTGCCACTCTCTGGGTTGAGTTTTCCGGTGGTGTAAATCTCAATGTTCGTCAGGGATTTATGGAAAATGGCTTCCATCATCTTCTGCAAGTCAAGCACCTACATGCTTTCCACATCGTGCATAACCACATTTCTGTCCGTTACAGTCTCATCTTTCAGTTTTAGGAGTTTGCTCCATATGTCTGTCTCCGTACCGTCGTGGTTTATTTTGATAACCTTTTTTGTCATTTGAACGTCGGTTCCCCTGATTCTGGTTGTCTGTTCCACAACGTTTATGTCCTCGGACAGATCTGCCAGTTTTGGGAATTTCTCCTTGAACTGCCGTTGGATGCTTACATTCATTTGCGGGTCCTTCGGTTCAGCAAGGACTACTTTCACTGTTGTGTTGTCTGCCATCAAAGGATTGCCGATAATTACTTTAGTATTTTCAAATAGGGAATTTTCCCATTTTTGGCCTTGTATCTTCTTGTACACTTCAAAATGGGTTGTAGCTTCCATGTGAATGAGGATATCCTCTTCTTCTGGGTGGCTGATCATTCCTTTTTGATCTTTGTCAAATATCGCTTGTAGCTCCTTCGTCATCATTTGGCTTGTGATGCTACGAATTTTGTCGGCTATTTCCCTTAATTTGACTAGATCATTTGGATTATCCTTGATGGTCCTACCCAGATCTCTTGATGCTTTTTCAGCCTATCTAGTTAGGTCCCTCATTTTTTCCAATTGCCAGCCGGCTTTTTTCCCTTTGCCTGGGTGTAGTAGATTTGGCTTTTTTGACGTGCCTGTAGAGGTACCCTCGTCTTCTTCATCTTCTGGTCTTTTCCTTTTTGGTCCCTCGGATTTTGCCTTTTCGTCATCCCATATTAGGTCGACGACTCCCACGTTGGAGACTTTGGGGCTACTCTCTATCTGGGGGGGGGCTGGATATAGTTCTCATTCTAAAAGCACTTATAGGTTCTACTAAAACTTTGAGTTCTGCGTCCTTGGACATACCAGCTGCACGGTCTGATTTCTCTGTCTGAAGATTTTTCTTTTTGGCTTAGGCCAGTATCGGCGTTTCCCGTAGAGTTCCTTCTCGGGCTGATTTTGACGCCTGTCACTTTTTCGGCTTCGAAGGAGTTTTTTCCCTTGGAGTTGTTCCTATTTTTAGAAACTTCGGGTGGTTTAAGGTTTATAAATTTTTTCTCCATGATTGTTCCCACGAGTAGCGCAGGAAAAGGTCGGTCCATCCCTGTAGAGCCTGGCCTACAGGGATAACCTAACCTAACCTAACGACCTAACCTAACCTAACCTACCGACCTAACCTAACCTAACCTAGGTTAGGGTTGGACTTGCACCATGGACTTGCACTCCATCCATGCCGGTCACAAGCCCGGAAAAAGGAGGAGTGGCCTATTGTTGGGAATCCGAGCATTGCACCTCTACTGCCCGGCTCTTACCAACACCGGACTTACTCTGCTTCAACTTGTCTTGAGTAGGTCCGTCTGTCTCTTTAATCTATGACCTGTCGGTCTTCCTTGACCAACTCTTGTTCTCTCACGATCCCGATGCTATTAGGGCATCCGAGGGCTAGGGGTCATTCCTTTCCATTACTGTCTTCGCCCAGGGAGTAAACCCTTCCAAAAATCCGCAACCCAAGGTGTTAAGCGACCCGTGCTGAGGGGTGAATGGCCAGGCGTGATGTGGTTATGAACGGAGCCGCCGGAAGCAAGGCAACCTTTCGGTGTAGGCTGCCTTAGCAAGGTAAGGGCGCACTACCCTGCTGGACCCAACTCGTGGGATCGAAAATGGAAGAATTAACAAAACACAAAAAAGAATATGAAGGGGATCCCTTCAAAAAGAGACCGATAATAGCACGAACGCCGACCAAGAGCGAATCTAAAAGCGAAAAGGAGGAGATTTTCTCGACTCCCCAAGAGCATGGGAGAGGTCACGCCAGGGCTTGAGGAGAGTCAGGCTGATAGACTGGAAAGAGACGCACAGGGCTTTCAAGACGAGGAACTGAACAAGAGCCCAGCTTTCGAACTCCACAGTACTGACTGGAAAGACATTGAGAAGGAAACGCAGCAGAGGAAAAGGAAACGCTTAGTATCGCCAAAAAAAGGCAAAAATATGGTACACGCAGGGATTCGGAGATAGCTTGGCTACAAAAGAATATAGAACATTTAACAGGAAAAACAACAAAATTGTTGAAACTCATCAAAAATAATGTAAATACGAAAGTACAGATTAAGCATATAGCCAGGGAAATCGATGCACTAGTCACACAAATGAAAAATCAAACGAACTTTTTGGAGGACCTCAAAGAACCTGAAAAGACTTATGAACCTAGACTCAGAGAACACTCTTACAGAGAGTACAGAAGACCAGAACAATGAAAAAAACACAAACAAAGGCACCATGATATTCCTAACGGAGGAGGGCACAGAATCGGAAGACATTAATAAAAAAGAAGCTCAACAGAAAAGTACAAGCACACCCGGGCGGAGACAGGAAAAGGGAAGTTGCACGTGCGTGTGCACCTGCAGTGCATCAAGATTGCCCTCGCCAGATGACCTAACAAATCATACGGAATTTGAAACGTTTGTGGAAATGGAGAAACTAACATGGGAAAGTACGGTATACACTAACACGGAAATCATAGTGGGAAACCCCCTGACAGCAGAAGATTCTGTCACGAAAGTCGTTATTGTAGAGCCGGATGATGCAGAGATGAGGCTCAGCATACAAAAAATGTTTAAGGATAAGTTCCCGGAATTGGCACCTCTCAGTGGGGACTGTGAGGTTCTGGAACAGGTTACCAAAGTTAGGGGCTCAGCAACGAGGACAAGCAGAAAAATCATCAATAATAATATCAAGTTCGAAACCATTGAGGATGCTAAAATATGTATCCACCACATAAAAGGCGTCAACATTGACACCCTTCGCAAAATGACGGAGGCGGTATTCCATGGGGGAAAGACCAAGGTGGATATATACACCACGGCATTGAAGGGGGAATATACAAGGGGCAGAGATACCTACGGTGTGGTTATTACCAGAGAGAATATGTCCTATAGAGATATACTAGGGACCGTGAAAACAGCCTTTGCGACATCAGAGTCTGCGAGTGCTATTAGAGGTTTAAGAAAAACTAGAGATGGTAATCTTCTCCTAACTATGGATAAAGACCGGCAGGCTTTAGGGCACCTGAAAAATGCCCTACAACAGGAGGGATAGCTCCAAACGAAGAGTGTGAGAGGAGGGGGAGAAACCGAGCAGGTATATATTAGGGGAATGGCCGGGGATGTCACAAAGGAAGAGATTACGAATGCCATCACGAAAATTACCGGAAAATTGGATGATGAAACGT